TGGAACCTTTTCCCACGGAGGATCCCACAAAAACTGATCCCATTTCCACAGCTGAAAAGGGCTTCAACTGGGGCACCAAACACAGAGTCAGAAGGTGAAAAAATATACAATAGACCGCAGTCACTAGTAGTCAATTCTAGAAGATAAAAAAATATAGTTCTATTGTTCGGTCAACACGCTGTAAATTGATGGACAACATCTCAATAAGGTAAGAAATCCCATGTATCTTTTTTTTTCCCGAGACTATCAATTGAGCATCGGATCGAAGCGTGTCGAATCCCTTGCACAATAGACGATCAGATCGACAGATCGCATTGGATCCTCCTTCGATTTCTTCATCACTCTATTCCTCTTACTGAGTTTATTTTCCTTTTATTTCTCTCCGCGACGGTCGTTAATGGAGAGAAAGAATGAGATAATTACCCCCCCACCCCCCACGAAACAGATCACAAGCCTGACAACACGTGTGGTGGAAGTGTTGGTAATTAAACGCTTAATTTATGAGAGGTCTTGTATGTTGAGCTGGTCGGCGGTGCGTCCCTCGCTCGCCCGCTCCTCTCTCTGCTTTCCTGTTTTATATTTCTGCGTCTTCATCGTTGTTTTAAATATTATGTCTATGTGGCCTTCTCGTTCTCATTCTCTCTCTCTCTCTCTCTTCTCTCCTCTCTCTCTCTCTCTCTCTCTCTCTCTTCTCTCTTCTCCTCTCTTCTCTCTCTCGCTTCGCTTTCTCATGCATATGTATATGTATACGCACATACATGTATACATACATGCATATTTACATACATAAATATATACGTACATTCAAACAGTTATACATACCTACAAACATATATACATACATATTCACCACACAATATACATACAAACACACACACGCAAACAATACACGCATACATAAATACACCCACAGAAATAGAATGTACAACCAGATGCACGCACACAAAATACACACGTACACATCCCTCCTCTCTCGCCTCCCCCCTCCCTCCCTCCCTCCCCCCCCCCCCCTCTTGCCGGCGTGTTTGTTTATCCCAACAACTTAATTAGTCTCCAACAGGTTTCTCTTGAGGAAAAGACCTTTAGGGAAAAATGAGGTGAAGGGAGGAGGAAGAGGAGGGAGATGAAGGAGGAGGAGAAGCAAGGGGGGAGGGATAGGGGAGGAGAAAGAGGAGGAGGAGGATGGAGGAGAAGGGGAGGGGAAGGGGAGAAGGCGGAGGGGGTGGGGGAGGGGGGAAGGAAGGGGGAGGGGGATAGGGGGAGGAGGGAGAAGAAGGGGGAGGGGTAGGGATAGGAGGCGTAGAGGAGGAGGAGGGCAGGAGAAGGAGGGAGAAGAAGCGGAGGAGGCGTAGGAGGAGGGAGAAGAAGGGGGGAGGAGGCGGAGGAGGAGGGAGGAAGAAGAAGGGGGAGGAGGAGGAGGGTAGGGGCGGGGGAGGGGGAGGAGGAGGGGAAGGGGAGCAGGAATGGTAGCAGAGAGGGTGAGAGGAAGGAGGAGGAGAGAAAAAGAGCAGAGAGAGGAGAGAGAGACAGAGACAGACAGACAAACAAACAAAAAGACAATCACAACCAGAGAAATACAAACAGACAGTGACAAAGAGAGGGAGAGAATCATAAGAACAAGCGAAGAAAGACACAAGAAGGGCAAACCATATGTGACGTCACTTTAAGACCAGGATATTCACGTATCTTCCTCATCTCCCTGCTGCTTCTGCTAAGGATGCCACGAAGGATGAGGTCTCCGCTTTAAGCTCTCTCTTTCTCAGCCTCCTTCTTCTTCTTGTTCTTTTTCTTCCTTAATATATATTTTTTTTCTTTTTTGTCTGCTTCTTCCCTCTTCTTCTTCTTCTTCCTCTTCTTCTTCCTTCCTTGTACGTGCTTCTTCCTTCTTTTTCCTCTTTTCTCCTTTCATCTTCTTCTTTTCCTTCTTTTTCTCTTTCTCCTTTCTTCTTCTTCCTTCTTTTTCTCTTTCTCCTTCCTTCTTCTTCCTTCTCCTTCTAATTTTTTACCTCTTCTCCTTCCTCCTCTCCTCCTCCTACCTTGCTACTCCATCCTCAGCCTCCTTCTCCCAGTATACCCAACACGAATCCCCTTTCACACGCCCAAACTATCTCAGTCTCGTCTCTCACTTTATCTCCCAATCATCGTTCTGTGCTGTCTTCCTTAATCCTGGCCTTCCTCGCCACGCCCAGAGGAGGCATCATCACCAACCCTCCTTCATCTCCTCAGCCTCAGCCTCTTCGTCAGCATCATCATCTCCTGACGAGTTTTCCCTTTCACTCTCACAGATGTTCTGTTATAAATCACTCTGTTTCATTCTCCTCGCCTTCTCTGCACTCTTTTCTTGTTTTTTCCCCCCTTGTTGCTACGTTCTCTATCGCTTTGAACGATTATGCAATCATTTTCAAGTATTTAGGTCCTTTAAACTATTGGTTCCAAGTATTTAGAGCCTTTAAACTATTGGTTCTAAGTATTTAGGTCCTTTAAACTATTGGTTCCAAGT